CAGGAGATAGGAGAAATATAAACTCGGAATTATGGCACGCTTGTGCTGGGCCACTGATTTCGTTGCCTCCAGCGGGAAGTCTTGTTGTTTACTTCCCTCAAGGTCACAGTGAACAAGTATGTTGTTCAAGAAAGTTCAATTATGATTCACGGCTGATCAAGAATTGAGTCTTTGGATTGGAAGTTTGATGCGGCTCTTGTTTTCGTCTATTTTTTTTAGGTAGCGGCTTCAATGCAGAAGCAGACTGATTTCATACCGAGCTACCCGAATCTTCCTTCCAAGCTTATCTGTATGCTCCATAATGTTACATTGAATGTACGTCTATAATGGCCTCTATCTTTAGATCTCTTAACATCAGTTTGTTTTTGAATTGCTAATGTATAATTGTCGATTGTAAACCAGGCTGATCCCGAGACGGATGAGGTCTATGCTCAGATGACTCTTCAGCCAGTAAACAAAGTATGTTACTTTTCACTGAATGTGACTCGGTTTTAGGTGTATTTGAGGAATAGGGGCTAAATGTTCTGAGAATTTTGTTGAACAGTATGACAGAGATGCATTGCTTGCCTCTGACATGGGACTTAAGATAAACAGGCAACCTAATGAATTTTTCTGCAAAACCCTCACGGCGAGTGACACAAGCACTCACGGTGGATTTTCTGTACCCCGGCGAGCAGCTGAGAAGATCTTTCCTGCTCTGGTGTATATACAATGCTTTCTTACATATCTATACTTTCTTGATTTTTAGGTTCTCTCTATTGCCTTAGCTTCTTACATTGTTGGCAATATTCTGTTAGGATTTCTCGATGCAACCACCTTGTCAGGAGCTTGTTGCTAAGGATATTCACGACAACACATGGACTTTCAGACATATTTATCGAGGTCTTTCCTGGTTTTTAATAGATTAAGTTGTTTAGTCAGTTTGGCTTTTGTAAAACTGTTCTTAGGTTTTGGATTTGTTGATGTTTTATCAGGTCAACCGAAAAGGCACCTGCTAACTACAGGCTGGAGTGTGTTTGTCAGCACGAAAAGGCTATTTGCTGGAGACTCTGTTCTTTTTATAAGGTATATGATATATCATCTCAATGTGTCGATGCTCTTTCGAGATTTATCTGTCAAGATGCTAACTCTTTTTCGCTTTCAATTAAGAGATGGAAAGGCGCAACTTCTGTTGGGTATAAGACGTGCAAATAGACAACAGCCTGCTCTCTCTTCGTCTGTAATATCAAGCGATAGCATGCACATTGGAGTTCTTGCTGCTGCAGCTCATGCTAATGCTAATAACAGTCCTTTCACCATTTTCTACAACCCGAGGTGGCGGATCTATGTTTCCTTTGTTCTCCATTAACATCATTTACTGTTTCGTTGCAATTGCTGAGAGTATGCAACCGAGTTTTTGCAGGGCTGCTCCGGCTGAGTTTGTTGTTCCCTTAGCCAAGTATACCAAAGCGATGTACGCTCAGGTTTCCCTCGGTATGCGATTTAGGATGATATTTGAGACAGAAGAATGTGGAGTGCGTCGATATATGGGTACAGTTACTGGTATCAGTGATCTTGATCCAGTGAGATGGAAAAGCTCTCAGTGGCGGAATCTTCAGGTAGTTTGGAGTAAACCTCATGCCAAATTTGTTTTTCTTGATACATTGCACCATTTATTTTAATTATGCAATATTGTTTCTGCTAAAGATTGGATGGGATGAGTCAGCTGCTGGTGATCGGCCCAGTCGAGTTTCAGTTTGGGACATCGAACCGGTTTTAACTCCTTTCTACATATGCCCTCCTCCATTTTTTCGACCTCGGTTTTCAGGGCAACCTGGAATGCCAGGTAAAATCTTTGTACTAGTCATTTCTACAAAACATCTTTGAATCTCCTCAAGGACGAAAAGTCTGGTGATCTTGCAGATGATGAGAGTGACATGGAGTCTGCGTTGAAGAGAGCAATGCCATGGCTTGATAACAGCTTTGAGATGAAAGACTCTTCGAGTACGATATTTCCTGGTCTGAGTTTAGTTCAGTGGATGAACATGCAGCAGCAGAACGGCCAGTTGCCCGCTTCTGCTGCTGCACAGTCAGGATTCTTCCCGTCCATGCTCTCTCCAACCGCTGCGCTGCACAACAATCTTGGTGGCACCGATGATCCCTCCAAGTTACTGAGCTTTCAGACGCCACCAGGGGGGATCTCCTCATCAAACCTCCAATTTAACAAATCAAATCCACAGGCCCCAATGTCCCAGTTGCCTCAGCCACCAACTACGTTGTCC